ATAAGAGATCCCACTTGTTGAATGTTTGTGCTAGTTCATGGGCAACTGAAGTTTTGTTTATAAAATCTTTTCCTATACCCATATCTTCAAGAGTTCTATCTAATTTCTTTTCCAGGTGGATTAGTACGTCTGTTTTAATATTTAGATCATTAAACCATTTTGATTTTAGTTTAGTGAATGGTGAGAGATATAGGTGGAGTTTCAATCTCTGGCAAGTTGAAACCCAGTTTTTCCAGCACCATTTATTAAAGAGGCTATCTTTCCTCCAATGAGGGAGTTTGGCTCCTTTGTCAAAGATGAGGTGACTGAATGTGTCTGGAATTTTTTTCTGCATCTTCTAATCTGTTCCACTGGTCCTCCTGTCTGTTTTGTTGCCAGTACCATATTGTTTTTATAACAGTAACTGTGTAGCATAGTTTCAAGTTGGGAATTGTGATATTCCCTACCTTGTCTTCATTGCCTAGAATTGCTTTTGCTATTCTAGGTATCTTCCTGTTCCAAGTGAATTTTTGGATTGTTTTCTCAAGATCTGGGAAGTATGCTGCTGGATTTTCAATTGGGTTGCATTGAATCGATATAACAGTTTTGGAAGTATGGCCATTTTCACTGTTGACTCTTCCTATCCAGGAACAGGGGATATATTTCCATTTTCTTATATCCTCTTCAGTCTCTTTTTTTCAGTGTTGTAGTTTTCAGAGTAGAGCTCTTTGACTTCTCTCATTAGGTGGATTCCTAGGTATTTCCATTTTTTGGAAGCTATTACAAAAGGGATTGATTGTCCCATTTCTCTTTCAGTGAGTCTGTTTTTCGTATACAGAAAAGCTATTGATTTTTGTGTATTGACCTTGTATATTCAGCTACTTTGCTGAATTTCATTATTAAGTCTAGAAGACTTTTGTTGGAATTCTTGGGGTCTTCTAAATAAAATATCATATCATCTCCAAATAATGACAATTTGACTTCTTCATTTCCTATTTTTATTTCTTCTATTTCTTTCTCTTATCTAATTGCTGTGGCTAATGTTCCCAAAACTATATTGAACAGGCGTGGTGATAGTAGACATCCTTGTCTTGTTCCTGATTTTAGTGTGAAGGATTTCAGTTTTTGATAATTCAGTATTATATTGGCTGTTGATTTTTCATTGATGGTTTTTATCAGAGTGAGGTAGAGACCATCTATTCCAATTTTTTGGAGAAGTTTTATCATAAATATATGTTGGATTTTGTCAAATGCTTTTTCTGCATCTATTGAGATGATCGTATGGATTTTGTCCTTGGCTCTATTAATATAGTGTATTACATTTTTTTCATTGAGTTTATTGGTACTTTTTGAGTATAAAGTAAATTTACATTTATCATTGGGATCTTGTACCTGTACATGACAGATTCTTGGTTCTCATATTTTCCTATATCCCTGCTCTCCCTTTACTCCCTCCACCTCCCCTAATTGCAAAGACTTTGTTTCCTTTCTTCCCTTTTCTCATGTTTTTTCTTTTCCCTTATTTCCTTTCCCTACACCTTTAGCCCCTTTCTTCCTGTATTACATTTATTGATTTGCATATGTTGAACCATCCCTACATCTTGGAATGAATTCCACTTGGTCATGGTGTATGATCTTCTTAGTGATCATCTGTATTCTATTTTCTAGAATCTTATTAAAGATTTTTGCATCTGTGTTCATTAATGAGATTGGCCTATAGTTCTCTTCTTTGGTTGGGTCTTTCTCTGCTTTGGGGATCAAGGTGATATTTGCTTCCAGGAATGGATTAGGGAATATTGCTTCCCTTTCAATTTCATTGACGAGTTTAAACAGGAGAGGCAATAATTCCTCTCTAAATGTCTTGTAGAATTCAGCAGTGAAGCCATCAGGACCTGGGCTTCTCTTAGTTGGTAAAATTTTTTTCTTTTCCCTTATTTCCTTTCTGCTATAATTCCCACTTCCCCTACACCTTTAGCCCTTTTCTTCCTATTTCATGTTGTCAATTATACCATTAGGATCTTATGTACAATTATAGATTTTCACACCAGAGAAACTATTCGGTATTTACACATGTATGGCTTATTTATTTCACTTAAGAATAAATCCTCAATAAGTTGCAATATCTTTATCCAAAGTATCAGTTTTCAAGAATAGTCTGTCTTTTTATATAATTCCCCTGAAAATCTCAAGCAGAGTTTTTAAAAGCTTGACAAATCATTTCCAAAATTTATGTGGCAGAGAAATGGCCAGGAATTAGTAAGACACAGCCACCCAAGGGAAAAAAAAAAA